AAGTCTGAGGGACTGACAGGAAGGAGGCAGAGTAGACAGAGACCTGCCTTTGGTCCTGGGTCTGACTCCTGCAGGAGCAGGCTAGGGGTAAAGAGGGAGCAGGCACTAGAAATGAGGCAGGCTGCCCTACTGATGATGGGGGAAAACTTAGAAGCCAAGTTCAGATGTATGACACAAAGCATGCTATTTTCCTGATCGTCCCAGAGTTTTCTCTTTCTCCTTCACAGTGCCCGGTGGCTGTTTATCTTGCATCCTGTTCTTGTTTTCCCTTCTCATGAAAATAACCCACAAGCAGTCCTTTCTGTTTCATAGCGGTGGTAGGAGGTTCTGAGCAAGTGTCATTAATGACTGTGGCCATTTAATTGTATCCCTATTCAACAGAGACAGCGCAAACAGAGAGGAATGATCCTAGTGTGTTTTCCTGGCTTTGTGTGCCTGATTCCTAGCTCAACAAAAGTCCAATACTGGTACTTAGAGACTTTCTGTTTTGATCACACTCCTCAGAATTTGGTCTGATCCCTTGACACAGCTTGCTCTGAATGTAGCAGTGTCTCAGAACACTAAATACCCTTGATCCCTTTCCCAGTGTTGTGAGCCCCATGCCCCCAGGCAGAGCTCTCTAGAGCTGAAGTGAGCCTTCCTACCTGCTCTTGCTGTTCACGGTGGCTGGATTGGCTTCGTCACTTGTCTCTTATTTCTTTCTCCAATGCTATGAGACTTTTGGATTTCTCTGAAATCAGGAAATGAAATGTCCAGCAACAGTCATAATGGATTAGAAGAAATGAAACTGAAAGTACCTGGTTCAGGGCAGTGAATCAGCAACCATTTAAGTGATTTCTGGAGCTGAGCTAGTGGGAGGGCTTGGTATATTTCTTAAGTCAGAACTCTAAGACATTTGCTTGGAAGAGACCCTTGTAAGCACTTGGACTTCTGAAAACTGTCCATTTAGATACGGCATATATGCAATGACCCTGAAGGTGGGGGCCAGTTGGATCATGAAAGAATGAGGAGGTAGTCTGTTATTTTTAGATCTAGTTGCCTAAAATACAGACTCACAGTGGGTTTAGTTATTTTTTTCAGAGATGCAGTGAGGAAAAGCACATGCCTTCCACCCACCCTTCTGAACATCCAGCATCTGTTACTGTCACTCAATGCAGCCAGGACCTGCTCTCTGCATTATAGGCTGTTTCATGACCAGGAATGGTGGCATTGTGGGGATTTTTCCTTTTAAAAACTTTTTTGGGTGGTTGGAGAGTTGCCTTGGTAGTTAAGAGCACTGGCTGCTCTTGCAGAGGACCTGGGTTCAGTTCTCAGCACCCACATGGCCACGAACAATCTTTCATAACTCCAGTTCCAGGGGAATCCGATGTCCTCTTCTGACTGCTTGCGGGCACTTCACAACACAGGTACACTCACATACAGGCAGATAATACATTCATACACATAAAATAAAATAATAAAATCCGGGTGTGGTGGTGCATGCCTTTAATCCCAGCTCTTAGTAGATAGAGGCAGGCAGATCTCCATGAGTTCAAGGCCAGCCTGGTCTACATATTGAGTTCTAGGCCAGCTGGGGCTACAGGGAGACCCTGTCTCAAAAAGACCAAAAAAAATATATATAGTTTTAATGTGTGTGAGTGTTGCCTGCATGTATGTAAGTGTACCCATGTGAGCAATGTTCATGGAGACCAGAAACAGAGGATCAGATCCCCTGGATCTGGAGTTACAGGCGGTTCTTAGCTGCCATGTGGGTACTAGGAACTGAACCCAGATCCTCTGCAGGAGCAGCCAGTGTTCTTAACCACTGAATCACCTCTCCAGCCCCTGGGATTTTTTCTTAATGACATTTTATAATTTTATTTAATCTCTTCCTATCTTTCCTTAACATTTTAGTTCTATCATTCTTTTTAAAAGATATTTTAAATATCTTTTAAATATTTTATTATGTTTTAATTATATGT